CAGTGAGAACTGGTTCTCAGTTAATTTACCTGGTAAAATAAAGTTTAAATAAATGACATAAATGCTCTAATAGTACACGTAAGTTAGTGGTTTATTTATTGTTAGTTACTTTAATGTTGCGCTGCTTTATTTGGTTAATTGTCCAATCTGTGAAGAAGGCATTCAAGTAAGAATTTCATTGTAGTATGACTCATTTCCTGGCGCGTACAATTTATATTAGGTCAGCGATCACGGTTCGACTTCTGATATTCAGATCGAGTTCTAGGTCAAACTGGTTAGTTCGGCTTTCAAGAAATTTGAGTTCTAGTGAGTTTGAGAACCGAGGTACCACTGTACATCACTGTTTTTTTATTGTATCACCGCAGCAAAGTAACATTACAATATTATGTTACAGGACCCAAACCAACCTGGCCACAAATTCTTCTTACTCCTAGAGTCTGGATTTACAAAAAGCTTCCTCCCTCTAGCTGTCCACACCAACAATAGCCAAATCTGGCCTGCTGCAATATTACTTGCACCCACACTTAGCCTAACTTGTTACGTCTAAGTGTTACTTGTTTTCACTGCATGTCTGCTGTTTACATGTCAATCCATCTCCTGCTCAAGGTCAGGGGGAGGGCAGCAGAATGCCTAACAGGGGAAGTTCAAGCCCAGAAAGTAAAAATCCAGACAATGATTTTGTTTCAACCACCTAGTTCCGTACTCTGAAGGTGACTTCATACTCAACTGGTTGGTTGAAACAAAGTCTTGGTCTGGATTTTTACATTCTGGACCTGAACTTTCCACCTCTACAACATGTCAATGATTTCAGCACACGCTGCATGGGAGTGTGCTGGGTGAACGATTTAAGAGACAAGCCAGCAATCATTCAATAGCATGGCGATAATTGATCTTGGCCAACTTGGGCTGCCAAAGCGGCCTGTAAGGAAAGATCTGGCTAACAGGAACACCCATGCAAGTATGCTAGTCACTGATTTCAGGTCAACCTTTAAAGCCATCACACAAAGCACATTCTGGGAGCTGGGGCGGAGCTGAGGCACACTAGATGAGATGCCAGGTCAAAGGACACACACAATCATTTACAGATGGCCTTTAGCGCAAGTACAGATCTTTGGATTGTGTGAGGTAATTAAAAGTACTAGGAAGAAACTTGCACAACACAGAGAAAATGCTCTTCAAACTTGATCTCTGGGGGTGTGAGGCAACAGTGCTAACCACAGGGCCACCCTAGCATCATTCATTCCTTTGTACATTGTTCTTTGCACTGGATGTGGCTGAATTAGCAAGCAGATTGAAGACCAATAAAATATCTTGAAACCTGATACAAAACATATTCATAGATGATTGTTGGCACTCACAAAGTAGGTCTGCCTAGTGATCCAGGAAAAAAAAAAAGGAGAAAAAAAAAAAAGGTATCAGTACTGCAATTGATCAGAAAACTCAGACTCCTTGTCACGACTGTCTATATTCAATCTGTTACAAATGCCCCCTTTAATACACACCACTGCCACCTGTATTCTTTATTGAAACGGCCCTCTGTGCAAACTCGTCTTAACATTTCTTGGGTTACGCTCATCTATAAAACACCTTTTGGCTTGTTATTTACAGACAGGCCACATATAATACTCTGTCATCCTCTTATATTAGAATATAGTCTCCTAAAAGTAGCACTTTCTCTGGTCTGTTATTTCAATCTGTTGCTACCAATGACTGGAATGCATTACAGAAAGCTATGAAACTGTTTAGTTTATTCTTTTTTTCAGTTTTCGTTTTGTTTTAAGTGCTTTCTGGCACTTGCCAGGCTGTCACTGTAAATAAGAAACTGTTCTTAATGCTTTGCCTGGTAAAATAAAGGTTAATGAATGAAAATGAATATTTTGAAACTTTGCATTGATTTCTTAATCTATTTCTGTACCGTTTATCACCGACAGATGGCAGTAGTTAAATGTTACATTTTAGAAACTTTTGATTTGCTGATTAAAATTACGCTGTTTATCTAGCCTACGTTAAGCGCACTACAATGCAAAATGGACTGCAGAGTCTGAGATATTAAAGTACTAAATGAGTAAAGAACTCAAAGTGTGTCATTCTATGTTTTCTCCCTCACACTTGCAGTTTTAAAAACAAATGTTAACTTTATTTTTGCACAATGAGAGGAGTTGAACTGTGCAACGACTTCATTTCAGATACCAACACATCCTTGGTAGTTGAAGGCTGTTAATTCAATTTCGTCTTTTAAATGTTAGTAGTTCTGCCATTTCAGCATTACAGTATTATTCATTAGGATATGTGTGGCTGTTTTTTTTTTTTTTTTGGAAATAGTGTCCAGCAACGATGTAAAAGTGAAATGCGAGTAGAGTAATACCAGAAAGCTAGTTATTAGAGTCTGAAATAGAGAAAACTTGGCAGAAACGTCAGTAATGCTATGAAACATGAGATTCACTAGAAATGGGTTTGAAGACTCCTCCTTCATCAAAATATATCTTAAGGACAAGCCCCTCACCTCACAAAGAGAGGATGCAACTTGTGAGAATCTACTGCTGCAAGCTAGATGACATGCATGAGACCTTTCGACAGATTCTTGTTGGAACCTTCCATGCTTCATTCACAATTAAGCTCTGACGCTGTTTCAACATATTGCTAAAATTTTAATTAAACCAAACCAGCAAAATTCTGCATCGGTGCCACATCAAGATGACTAAAGGGTCTCAATTTGGCGTTACCCTTCCGAATGCGATTCTGTTGGCTGGGAACATGTGAAAACTCAAATGACAAATTCCAGGTTCCACTACAGAGAAATTGCACATGCTCTCCCAGATTGTACAGCTGGGTCCTCCAGGGTACCTCGAGCAGGCAGACGTTACTGCGTTTTGGTGTTTTCTGGTAAGCTGATGGACTGGCCCAAGTATAAGTGAGCTTGAGGTTTTCCACCAGTGAAACAGCTGCCATCCCTGAATGACACAGACTGATGGAACCCAGAAAGTAGGCCAGCACAATACATGGTGTTAATATCAACACTGCATGTTATACACAGAAAATTGTTATATTTCAAGGACTGAGCTAGTCAACTGGATTGAAACCAACTAATGTTATGCTTAAGTTACACCAAAACATTTTTACTCCGTCACAGAAAACAAAAAATTTAGCAAGATTTCCCTTTCAGGATTATCTAGTACATGTAACAAGATCAGCGCAAAGTTTACTGCCGATGCTTTTGTGCAAGCTCTGCTCACTCTGAGCCATTCATAATCATTTCATTCTTGCCGTTTGACTCACTCCAGACAATGTGGCGCATTTGTGAGAAATTTAACAAAAATGAGTGAGGAGGAGAAAAGTGAACAAGAACAGATCACCGAAAGACATGTCTTCAACTGCATGGAAATATTTTGGATTCCACAGAGATAATATTGAGCAAAAGCAAGAAATTTGCCAGTAATGCTGTGTTTCAACACATCTGCAGCAACACCACCAGTTTACTTTGAGTAAATTTTGAACTCTTTTTTAAAATTTACAAATATTCCAAATATTGGATTACAAAAATATTACTGTGATGCACATTTTTTCTAATATAGTGCAACCAAAATGGAAGTTGTTTACTCATTATGTGGGATTCAAAAGAAAAATTAAAAGATTTCTTAACCAAGACTAACATACTCTACAGCAGGGGTGTGTAACTTTGTTCCTATCAAAGGATATTAAAATTTTTATAACATCCTTCAAGGCAAAAACACTGTATGGATTTTTAACTAAATAGACTACATGAAAAGATTCGTGGTAGACTGTGGTTGATTGTGTCGTTCTTAAAGCCACGACCGCTAGATGGCAGTGTTGTAACCTTTTTCTGCCATTTGATTCTTCCACTCCAACGTAACAATGCAGCGTCACCGACTTTGATCATCTGACTGGCATGAGATTTTGAATTCAAGACAAGTCTGCACGCTCAATTACATGTATGTAACAGTTTAATTACCTTGCAAATAGTCTGTAGGGTTTGCAAACTACCCTGATGCTTTTGATGCAGTTAATTTTAGATTTACAGTGATCCCTGCCTATCGCGGAAGATGCGTTCCAGACCCATCAGCGATAGGTGTTTTTTTTTTTTTTGTTTTGTTTTTTATAGTTTAATCCTTAAAAATACCCCTCCCACACACTTTAAGCACATGTAAATTTATTAAAGCAACACATATGATATGTGGATGTCGGGCTAAGGATATGTATATACATAATAAATTATGTAGTGTGTGTGTGTGTGTGTGTGTGTGTGTGTGTTCTTATATTCTTTTCATCCTTTTTGATGTAGCGTACCATCCATTCATTCAAGACATAATTGCGAGCGACGTCCACATAACACTGTCCTTCCTGAAGTATATCCAGGAGTTTTACCTTCTCCTGAATGGTTAAGATCTTTCTCTGGCGCTTAGGCTCACTACTACCAGAAGGCTTGGAAGATGCAGGACGCTTGGGAGCCATCGTAGGGCTTAAAACAAAACTAAAACAATCGGAGCACAAGCAAGGTGTGCGATACGCAGAGATCTGTGACGCATCGGGGAATAATCCGCGATATAGCTGAACCGCGATATAGCGGGGGATCACTGTATATTGGAATAATACAGATTTGCCGTAAGATTTCTTGCATGAGCGTGAGAATCAGAAAACGTGAGTGTCACGCCAGATGCATGAGGGTTGGCAACCCTGACAACGTAAACGGAGATGGAAGTACGGTAAGAGTGCACCGCTAACGTCAGCATTAGCAAACCTAGCTGACTAGCGGTACTCCCCCCCCCCCCTTACAAAAAGAAACATCATACCAGAATGTACCAGATCAACCAAGTAACTTCAAATTATTAAACAGATATCCAGCATAAAAAATGACTTGTTCCCAATAATATTAAGGCAAGACAATAACAGAACAGAGAAATAAAATATCAAAAGAGGAATTTTACAAAAGGTACCAAGGGGCTACAAATTATAGTCTGGCAAAAGGGTTATGTTCTGAGCAGTGATTGTTCTGCTTTTCTAAACAGTTTATATACAAAGTTAGATCATTAGGAAAAGCATTTCTCTTTGGGGATTGTTTCACGAATGTTGCCAAAACAATGCTAACTAAAAAGGTTGTTTTTTTGTCCGTTAACATAACCACATGGAATAACATTGCAAGAAGGAAATCCCACATTCACAGAATTCCCAGCCAATCACATACATCCAACCACAACTTATGGACAATCGCAATTATAAAACAGATGGTCAGTCATCGCTATCTGACTAATAATGTTACTGTTGTGGTAAGTGCAAAGGCAGATCCCACTCTTCTGATTGCATAAAAAAAGTTAACTTTTTTTTTTTTTTTTAAACCCACGTTTCATGTATATGGTGGTGTGTTCTTTACACGAC